TAGATCATTTGCACACATGTTGCAACAGAGTCATCCTCGTTATCAAAGCCTATGTTATTGTGCTTTAATCTAAAGAAGCGAATTCTTCTATGAGTACAATTTTTGTATCTCTGAGTGGACATTAGGTTAAGTGGACAGACCCAACATAGTAATGTGACCTAATCCTGACCTGAATAGGTCAAAGGTCAATGTTTAACACCACACTGATGGTGTTTTCTGCTACAGAGTGACATCTGTGACTCCACACTCATACTTGCACTCAAGCCAGGTTTCCCTCAGATTTGAATATCAGTATTTTGTTTTTATATTATTTCTCAGTGGAAATCAAAATGCAGTTAAATATACACACCTTTTTCCCATCTGCTTGTGTGGCATAGAGCTCATCTCCACCCTCTTGACTTCTGACCTCTTGTTCTAAAGTCAGTGGTCAGTTTAACCTAATCTGTCAAGTGTTATAACCTGAACCCTGATAGCTACAGCACTACAGCGCCCTTTGAACCTAGAATGAACTCCCACATGTAAGCTCACATAATTAAAGCAAAACAGAGATCAAGTCTTTTTTTTTTTTTTTTAGTGAAAGAATGAGTGGGAGGAAGATGGGTGGAGAATACACAGTGAAAAAGTGACAAAAAGAAAACAGTCAGTGAGGGTGAAATAAGAGGTGAAGAAAGGTCCAGAAAGAAGCGGGTTAAAACGAGGGCAGAGCAGGAAAGGTGGTAAAGTGGGGGATTTTAGTCTGCTTTGTCAACTCTTTTTGTTGGCAACACTGATAATGGTTTAATGTGCCTGAGAACACTTGAACCAGTCTAAAGCCTCTGACTGGGTTGGTCTTTGGGGTCACACAGACACGTTACCTGATGCTCACAGGTTTGACGCCCACAACCTGTCCAGATGTGCCTGAATATATAATGACAAACTGAAGTGAGAAAAAGAAAACTGAGAGAAAGAAAGGAGAGGAAAAAAAGCAAAGAAGAGGGATTACTTTGTGTCTTTTTGGTCTTGTTTGTTAGTCTAAATGGGCCTGGGAACACTTAACGCACTTAAACCAGTCTGACCAGTGTGACCTCCAGGGCACAGGGGTTAAAAGCCTTCTGCTGACAGACAGAATGACAGGGAGGGAGGGGCCAAGGGAAGTGAAAAGAAAGCTAGAGAGAATGGTAACACACTGAGGTGGAGGAAAGCCTCGTAGTAACAAGGATGTGAAAGACACAAATAAGGGAAGAGAATAAAAGTAAAGCTAGAGGAGACTTTATTAGAGCCTGATGGCATTACTGTTTCATCTGCAATCTTTATTTAATCATATTGTCTGTAAAATCCTCAGCATGGTCATTGTTTCATTCCAGACAAATTACTTGTAATTCTCCTCATTGTAGGGTGAACACAAGACTCTATGTGTGTACACTCACATGCCTGCCAGTTGTGAACGTGTGATCTTGTCTGCACAGATTTGGGCACCAATCCATTACATAATCCAGCAAAAAGTATAACAGTCACTCAGCTGTGGAGTCCACATCTATCCGAACCTCCGTCTGTTCCTAGCCAAACTTTTGCTCAACTACCTTGCCCAGTTTAGTCTGAAATTTACATTTTACAGTGCTGACATTTATGAAATTTAATATGTTGCTACAAACTTTTTATTTACTCAACACATAAGCACTTGATCATCAGAAAAAACCCATAAAGTGAAGTCCTTCTTCAAAAAGAATAGAAATATATAAGAATGTATGAAGAAATATAAATATATATATACAATAACAGCAGCTGTACAAGTATTAAATGGAAATGAAGAAATATAATGTCCAGTGTTGTGCAATCCACCTTTGTAAGTGTCTTGTGCAGTGCAAATATGCTTAAAGTGATTTAGTGATGAAGTGATTCGATTAGATGACCACGCATCTAATCGAATTAGTGTAAACAAAGTCCAGAATGTCCAGTGTGTGTGTGTGTGTGTGTGTGTGTGTGTGTGTGTGTGTGTGTGTGTATGTGTGTGTGGTGTGTGTGTGTGTGTGTGTGTGTGTAAGAACCATATGTGTGGGTCAGTACTGTGTGGTGGTGTGATTGAGAGACCGTATCGCCTGCGGGAAGAAGCTCCTCCTCAGTCTCTCTGTGTTGGTCTTCAGGGAGCGGAATCGCTTTCCTGACCTCAACAGAGAGAACAGTCTGTTGTTGGGATGGCTGAGGTCCTTCACGATCTTCCTGGCCTTGGTCCAGCACCGCCTGCTGTAGATTGAGTGCAGGTCAGGGAGCTCGGAGCGGATGGTGCGCTCAGCTGACCGCACAACCCTCTGTAGAGCTCGTCTGTCCTGCATGGTGCTGTTCCCGAACCAGGTTAAGATGTTTCCCGTCAGGATGCTCTCTATGGTGCACGAGTAAAAGTTCCTGAGCACCTTGGAGGGCAGTTGGAAGTCTCTCAAGCGTCTGAGGTGGTAGAGACGCTGTCGGGCCTTTTTCACCACGGTGTTGATGTGACAGGACCATGACAGGTCCTGCGTGATGTGAACTCCGAGGTATTTGAAGCTGTCCACTCTCTCCACTGGGCACTCGTTGATGACGGGGGTCTGGTAGTTCCTCTCCTGCTTAGTGCTGAAGTCCACTATCGTCAGCACTTTGCTATGGTGTGGAGCTGGTAGTGGCCACACAGTCATATGTGTACAAAGAGTACAGCAGGGGGCTCAGAACACACCCCTGGGGGGCTCCAGTGCTGAGAGTGGTGGAGGCTGAGACATGTCCGCCCATCCTTACTGCCTGTGGTCTGCCAGTTAGGAAGTTGGAGATCCACTGACACATAGATGAGCTGAGTCCCAGATGCTCCAGCTTGGTGGTGAGTGTGGAGGGAATTATGGTGTTAAATGCAGAGCTGTAGTCTATGAAGAGCATTTTAACATAATTCCCCCTTCTAGTGTCCAAGTGAGTGAGTGATGTGTGGAGGAGATGAGAGATGGCATCGTCTGTGGAACGATTTGGACGGTAAGCGAACTGTAGTGGGTCCAGTGTGTCTGGTAGTGAAGAAATGATGAAGTCTCTGACCAGGCGTTCAAAGCACTTCATCACTACTGAGGTGAGGGCTACAGGGCGATAGTCATTGAGAGAAGCAGGGTGGGGTTTCTTCGGGACAGGAACAATGATGGACTCTTTGAAGCATGTGGGGATCACCGACTTTGAGATCACAACTGTAATTAACACACAGTAAAAGAATAGTTCAACATTTTCAAGTGTTATGTGTGTTAAAATGTGTGATAAGTTCTTCAACTTCCAGCCCATGAAAACCACACAATCTTAGGTTTTTGATTCTGTGTTCAAGTTTTATATTTAATATACAGGCATGAGTGGTACCAGCTGTCCAATCTCTTACTCAGCTCAATAAGCCCATTCTGCACAATGTAGCCTTCAAGGGATCGTTGTCTTACTGGTGATTTTTAGTTTTTACACTTATCGTTAGTGTCACCACTGATATTAAAAATCCCCAAACTGGCTGGGGTCTAGCTGTTACACAGAAAAGATGAAAAGGTCGAACAGAAGATCCATTTCTCAGAAGAGGCTGAGATGGGAGGAGCGCGGGGGAAAAAAGGAGATGGATGCTTGGTGGGAGAAGTGAGGAGAGCAGTGTGGGAGAAGGATGAGATCAGCTGAGAGAGGAGGTCATGCTGTCAGTACATCTGAAGAGTGCGGAGAAAGTCTCTCTCTCTGCTTTTTATCGTTTATCTTCTCTTCTGTCAGTCGGCGAGTGGGTGTCGCCGTCTCGCCTTTCATCTCCTCTCATCCATCTCGCTCCCTCCTTCTCTGTCTATCCTCAGCTGGAGCGGTCTCGTTTCGCTTACGGCTGCGTGTGCGCACACCTGCTAAACGTGGTCAATGAGAGTTTATACAGTTCTGAGTTATATTTTGAAACACACATTGACATAGTCTCAAACTTTTGGCACAACGTCTCCTCGCCGTCATTCATTACCTGCAGGATGCCTGTAAGTTGCGCTTCCATTAGGACACATACACACATACTTAGGATTCAGTCACCTGTAACGGAGTGAGCTCAGAAACATCACGGCCCATTACACCATCTCACCGCCCTGTGTGTGCATATATATGTGTGTGTGTGTGTGTTCTGCTGCATGGAGCCATTAGCTGTAATGTATCCTTTCCTCTCCATCTATATTTGAGCCCTGCTTTTTCTCTCCAGCTTATTTGCGCTCTCTGCCTTTGTTTTTTTTGTTTTTTTCCTTTATCTTACTCTCTCTGGATTTAGGGTATTCAAAAGGAAGCTACAAGTCATCACCTCTGCCTCATGCTTATATAATTAGTTTGTGTTGTGTGTATGTATGTGCTCACAGTTTTAAAAAATCTGGTTAATAATATAAGTCACCTTCCATGGTGAGGTTCAAACTGCGTGTGTGTATTCACATTAAAGGGTCTGGTTTGTATTAACCGTACTCCGTCCTGTTCTGTACGTATCTTGAAAAAGCTGACACTTACACTCTGTGTGTGCGTTTCATTGACTACCCCGTTTCCTCATTCATCATTCAATGTCTTTCTTTTAAAGAGTGCTGGAATAAAATCGGTACTTCTGTTCCAAAAGTAAGAAAGTTTTACTCAAAATTACATTGACATTTGTAATAACACAAATTAGCTGAAGGGAAACTCCAGTGAGTTATTACGGCACTTTCATAGCAAATTGTGTGAGACTCAAAATTGAAGCAGAAAGGTCAAGATATTTAAACTTTTTGTCCACGGTGCGGCTCAAGGTACAGTGTATCCAGTATTTACTTCTGAAGCGCCTTTTCATTAGATTACATCCTTGCTAAGGAATAATATTAGCGCTCAAGCCAGAATCAAAGTAACAAAGATAATATTATTAGGATTATTGTTTAAACCTTTTTAGATGTACAGAAAATCGTGGACTATTCTCACACTTTCTGTGATTATAGGGACTAAATGCATAAATAGTGTAAGCGAGGGACAACAGGACAGCATGTGTTAATGGCGACGTGTTTGTGCTTTGCTTTCAGGTGTTGGTTCATCCAAAGTCGTGGTGTTTTCAGCGTTTCTCAATGGCCACTACCCCCCTGCTGACCTCACCGGAGACATCACTGTGTCCTACAGCTCACCGACAGGTAAAAAAACCAAACCAAACCATGTGACAAATTTTCTGAATGGACATGTTTAATTTAACCTAAAACTTACAATTTCACAGAATACAACACAATTATCCTAATTATTACATGTTGTTGAATTCATTTAAATTTGTTACAAAGTAATTATGATCAGGCTTTGCTGTGCTAATATTTAACTTGCATGCATAAACCTCCAAATGCATGCAAGAACTGATAGTCCTGCTACCTTCCAATCAGCTCGAAGTCTTCCTGAAGGACGTATTCACAATTGATAGAGTAGTATTGCAGATGGGTCCAAGTGGTAGCAAGAAGACAAGAGTAATCCACAATTTGTAACAATAAAATTAGTTTATTTTTAAACTGCTTTGACATATTATCCTGGTAAATAAAGTCCACTTCATCAGTATTTTAAATCTTTTAAAAATCCCTGATTGGTCGGGCTCTATCATAGAGCCTTGTTCACTGTCTGATGACAAAATTTACTTTCTCAGACCCAAGTGGACCCTCACAAGCTCACAGAGGCAGAAGTTAACAGAAATTGGACAATGACTTAACACTAGCTAACAAAGAGTAGCATAAATTTGCAAACAGAGTGAAAAGCCAAGCGTGATGTTATTCCCACTTGGCTTTTCGCTCTGCTTTCCTGCGATGGAGTTAAATCTATCAGTCTGTTCCAGCATTGCCGTTAGAAGCATTCTGGTCTATAACATCACTTCCAGTGTTGTGTGACAGTGTTGAACACCAGCTGCTAACAGTGTGCTGACTTGAGGTAATGACATCTGGGCACTTTCCAGACAAGCCCAGTTCATCCCCCTGCTGCCTCCAGGCATCTGTTTCTAGGCCCGGCAATATTTTTGGAAGATATTACTTTCCCCCTTGCAAACCAACAAAACCACTCTTTATTTCAAATGTCACGGGCCTCCTAGAAAAAAAAAAAAGATTTATTTGAATATTTGTTCAGAAATCAGGTCATGAAAAAAAACCCTGTTTTCTTGCTATTGTTTCCCTTGGATTGAATTTGCTTTGGCAGGCCTCTGTTGGTGGAACAGTCTCTCCACCCCAGAAGCACATTTAACGTGAAATGTCTGGAAATATTGGGAAGTGTTTCTTTTTTGTTAAACTTTATTGTGCTGCTAAAAATAGCTGAAAATACGAAGTCTGGAGTAGTTCAGCAGATCTTAGTAGCCAAGCAGCTTGGGGAGAATATGTTGGGAGCTGATCTTGGGTTTGGAAAGAGAGCCAGTGGACTGTAAGTAGAATTAGAAAAAGTTTACTGCAGGTTAGAGGATGAAGACAGATGAATAACAGGATGGGGACCATGAATGAGGTACACACAAGTTACGTTTAAATGGAACGGAGAAAGAGAAACAGGGAGGGTAAACATTGTTGAGAGAAAGGATGGGAAGGAGGAGAACGACAAAAGCAGAGGAAAATGGGAACTACAGAAGCCCTAGGTATAAACTAAAAGAAGGCAATCTTTGTTAGAATGAGGAAGGAAAAGCAGGGGAGTAAATTAAGCTTATTCTCACTGCATGGTCAAACCTATGAGGACACTTATGCATTACAACCACTGTCTGCCAAATATTAAAACCTGGCTGCAGGACTTGTTCCCATTCATATACAAGAGCATTAGTCCAACAAGTGTTGGACTGAAATCAGGGATCATTAAGATTTCCTGGGAATGGAACGAAGAAGCTTTACCTAAAATCTTAAAAAACTTCCCCTTTGGCCATGTAATGTAAATTAGAGTTGGCGGTGTTGAGGGGAATGTGGACCTCAAAACTGATCTGGGTAGTAGATTAGTAGACAGCACTGCCATTACTGAATCAGAATATTTCTCAACAAAGATTCCAGGATTTATTTAAAAAAAAAAAAAAATCACTCATTCAGTTTTGATATATGACCAGGTGCGATTTAATCTGTGAGTCACCAGAACTACTTTAGATTTTTAGTAAATGACTACATTTATCACAGCTTGTACTTTATTCGTGAGTAAAACTTTATTTTTGCTGGAGCTGTGACGACAATGCAGGTGGATGCATTTATATGAAAATGATTCACAAGTACACACAGCAGTCATGCCACATTCAGGCCTACTTCGGCTCTGCCCCGTTGAAAAAACTCTGCCTCGCTGATCAGAAAGAAGGGCAAATCGGTGCAGCGCTGCCGAATAAGCTTCAGCGTAGTGGCCTGCAGACAAGTGTAACACTGGTCACATACATGCAAATAAAAATGAAACAGATGTCCTGACAGGTTTGATTAAAAACATTCAACGTGAGACACTGCTGTTTGTGTCTTTGTCAGTGTATCTTTTAACAATGACCAGTCCATTCCTTGTAACTCCATGGTTGTGTGTTAATCTCCAGCAGTGCCTCATCCTATCTCATCCTCTAAACGCTGTCTTGGCTTGGGAGGAATGCATCACTTTGTTTCTGTTGCTTTCCTTCTTTCCTCATTCCCACCCAGGGGTGATGATTATGCCTTCACACCACCCACTTATATAACACCATCCCACCCTGGGGCTACTGTGCCCTTCTTTAAGCCCTACAAAGGCTCTGACATTTAAGAAGACTGCTGACTTCTTAAGCCCTTCAAAGGAGGCTTGACGGTGTCAGGAGTTGTTACAATCTAGAAAGAATTTCATTAGTGGCCCTCTTTGATTTTCTTAATACTTTGAGAGAGAGCTCTGCACAAACACACTTGAGAAGGATCAGGTGGTCAAGTTGGCGTTTACAGTATACTGTTAGCGCGTACACAAGCTAACAGTATAGTGGCCATTTTCATCTGAACAGGCAAAGATACATTGTGACTGTGCGGATACTTTCCATAAAACCCAGCCAGCCGTGATTCACTGGTTGCTAGGCCAATTCGTGTGGAAACCTAGGAAGCTAGTTGGCAGCCTTTATTGTTTTCTTCTGTTTTACTGAACTTGCCAGAATGACCAGCATCTCCATATGTTGATGTCTCCAGGACAATGCAGTATTTTTGTTGGGTCACTCCTCTTTTGACTACCAGGCCTGAAATCCATTTGTAAGGAACTTTTGTTAAGCCAGCTGATGCTGATGTTGGTTGCTACGTCTGCCAAGCGGATCATGTTCTAAACTCTCTTTGTTAGCGTGCTCTGTATTACAACAGCTTAGTAACAGATTTGGAGGAATGCAAGGCCACAGGCCAGGAAACAAGTAATGTAGTTTTTTTTTTTACAGGATAACTTGAGATTTAAAAAAAAAAAAGCAAATTAATATTTTCTCATGAGCTGCAAGATCATGTGATATGTACAGAACCATATTTGTCTGTTGTTGTATTTTTATTAGTATTTTAATGCATACAGCATATCCTAATAACCCTTAATTTAACTTTTTTATTAACCTTATACAAAAACAGGTTTTCAGGGTTAAGCTTCTTTGAGATTTCTACTCTGTATTTCTGTTCCACTAAGGGGATATTTGGAGGAATTGAAAAACTTGATAGAGCTGGATTTAGTTTATCTGAAAGGACCTTAGATGGCAGAGTTTTTCCTGGCTCAAAATATGTCTTTGAGGGGGACTGTGCACATAACTGTGTTTGGTCAACGTGTGGATAAGGCAGTGACTCAGTGTTACTTTACTGACAGAAATCTATGCACTTACCAGTTATTTGTGGCCAAAATGTGTTTTATGTATGAGTCAATATAAAAAGAAGAAAAAATTAATCTTGATGATTTCTCGTTTTAGAAAGGGCAAAACCTCATCTGCACTTTTAAAGCATTTTTTATTGAAAATTTAGATTGCATGCAAAATATTTTTTTCCTGGATTATAGTTTTGCTAGTTTTCAAATATTTTGCATGCAATTGTAGAGTGTTCAGAGATGAATTGCATCTATTAATTGTGTGTTTGGACAGTATGCATATTAGATATTCTTTATTTTGTTCTAATTTTTTTAAAATTTTTTTTAATTTTTATTGTCAGTAGACCTGAAAAATCAGTTTTAGCGAAAACCCTAAATGAGCATCATTGAACTTATTGATTTCCATTAGCTGATTTGTGCTTCCTACTTGGATGTTTATTTGGCATTGAATTTCAGACTTTTTTACAAACTAATTCATGGATGGCATCTTGAACCCCTCATGAGTTTTCAGTTTCGCATTTATTCAGAATTTTTGCTGGCAGCAGACACTCATGGCATATTAAAAGCTTTTTCCTCTTGCTATAGCAATTACGGTAGATTATACCACAGAAAAGGCAAAGACTGTTCAATGAGAAGCCCTCATATATCAGTGCAGACAGAAGAAAAACAAGAATAATAACCTTTTATTGTCCATTGTGCTTTGTTCATGGACACTGCAGCACTGTGGAACATTGATTCAAACCGTGAATCTCCCGTAGGAAAAGTAGCGCCTTACAAGGATGCTCCTCTGTTAGGCTCTCAGTCCACGAGCCCGCAGTTGTGAACTGATGGAGGAAAATATAATCCTGATGTTGTACTTTCTTGTTAATCTAAGGAAAAAAAACAAACAAAAACAAACAAACAAATAAAAACATTGGTTTGTGCGCGAAAGGGATGTTACAAAGTGGAGAATGGATTTTTCGAAAGTAAAGAGATTTTATTTCCAAAACTCTTAAAAAGAATGAAAACAGTTCTGAGCTCTGTAATTAATTATAAAAAGAACACCTTCTCAGCTTCTTCGGCTATTATTGATATAATAAAGGCTTACAGCCGTGAAACATTAAACTTTTCTAATTCTACCGCAGCAGCTAATGGATCCAGAGTTTCACTTGAAGGAGATTTTTGAAAACCGAAGACTGATTGAGCATTGCCTGGCAGCTGGCCAGAAGCAGCTACACACACTACTGTGTGTGTGTGTGTGTGTGTCTCCATCCACGCATGTGTATGTGTGTGCATGGGTTTTTGCTGTGTGAGCCTCCTCGCTCCATTTGACATGTCTTTTACATTTAAAAAATGTAATGGGTGCTTTTAGGTCCTTCTCACTTTTCTTTCTCTCTCGTCCATTTTTGTGTTGTTTTATCCAGTCTTTTTCTTCCTTTTTCTTCCCTCCCCGTTATGGTTTTTCTTTCTTTTCGTTGGCAGTGTAGAGTAGTAATCTGAGCCCCAGACAAAGTAATTACTGGACTTAGCATTTCAGGATTAGATAATACTGCTCAATATGAAGACATTATGGGATTTTGTAGGTATGCGGCTGATCCTGCATTTCAGGTAGATTAGCCATCAAACTGCCAATAGCGCCGATGTTTCTTTTTTTTGAATGATGCTCCGTATAGCAGAGCTACATTATCAGTGAGTCAGGACAGAGGACCAATATGCTTGCAGCAACATTACTGCTGAGAACTGAAAGAAACTTTATGTATGTAGGAGTATTGTAGACTGTCTTATTACCAGGAAACAATTGTGGTAATAATTTGGGTGCGGTAATATTGTGACCCATAGCTATGTTTTCAAGTCAAAGAACCTCAAGCAGCTGTGAGAAGAAACTTAAAGGCACATTTTAGAGCCAGGAAAACCATGCACTTTTAACAAAAACAAATAGGTAGTTAAAGCAAAACTATAATATTGTCAGGAAATGGATCAAACTCCAGTCTCTTGTGTTGTATTTGGCTATGTTTGTGCATATATACGAAAGCACGTGAAGTCGGTATGTGCAAATGGTGATGATGATTGTTTAATAAGAGAATTTAAACTTTTAAAAGCAAGAGCTACCTCTGCATTTGTTTATTTATTTTGCATAAAATTGAATAAATAAATAAAACATAGGAAATATTACCAACTAGACATTAGTTCAACTGATCATTAGTTGTGATTTGGCGCTATAAAGATAAAATTGAATTGAATTGATTCAGACCCAGCTAAATATATTGTTAGGTACCCTGTATTGTTAACAGTATATATCCTGCACACTTGGCATGAAATTATATCTTTGAAATACAAACTCTTTAAACTGTAAAAAAATCTTGCTTCTTAAAGAAGTGGCAGAGTTATGACAAGAGGGAGCGATGGAGGCAGAGTTATTACAGGAAGGAGAGGCAGCCATAGGAAGCGCGACTTTCATCAGGTTTAATAAGACGTGAACCTTTTGACTCAGCACCTCGCTGCCTTTTCATTGGCTTGCAACCTGCCATCTGCTTCTCATTCACCTTCGCAGGAAATCCTCTTCAACCAATCATATCATAGTTTAATCTGCCAGACTTCTGTTGCTGTGAACTAAAGGTTAGAGGAGCAGCACGCTGACTTTTTAAATCCCAGGGCAGCTGGAAAAATATAGCACTGAGGAGCACAGAGAAGAGATGCTGTCTTATCACAAATATTTTTGTTGCTGACTTCCTTCACATAAACAGACAGACACAAACCAAAGTATTTTTTTTTATCACCACAAGGAACACACACACACACACACACACACACACACACACACACACACACACACACACACACACAAATCCTTCATATATTTTCATTTGAAGGTTAAAACTATCAACCAAAACTGTTTCGCTGCATCATAATTGAATGCTCCTTCTGGTTCTACTTAGGCCTTCCACAGTTTTCTTCTTCTAAATGAGTTAATACTGATCAGGTTATAAGAAGAGACGTCTCTTTCTGTTGATCCCGTCAGCCCGATTTCCACACAAACCTCATGACGATAGACTATTTAATTTTCGATTTGGACATCTTATCATATTCACGATCGGTATGGCTGAGTCAGATGGCAGCCTTTTCCTCCAGCTGTACTTTCCAGTTGTGTGGGAAGGCAAACCAAACACTTGAGAGGAATTTTTTTAGGTATGTCTATTTCCATATGAAGGAAGATGGAGGTTTTCTCAGGGAATTCCCTTGCCAGTTCTTCCAGTTCTTTGTTACTGGTCCGACCAAATAAAACTAGATGGGAGAACTGATAACACTTAATTTTTTCTGTTTTTTCATTCCTTCACCTTTCATATTATAACATTTAACTCTTTCCTTTTCATTTCTGCAGAGCTTAACCCTAAAGGTAAGTGCTTTATTCGTAGAGCTTCGTAGACTAGAGCAAGTAGAAACACAGTCTATTATTAAAACATGTACTCTAGATATACACATAAATAAATTTAAATATATATGTTCTACTGAGATCACACCCTTGTATATTCATGTACACTTCTACACTTACTGAAACGTAAAGATTATCAAAACTACGCCATATACTTTCCAAACACACACACACATACATTCAGAGCTGTATATACAGGAAGAGCCTGCTGCCTACTGTTTATGTTCCTGTTATGTGATATACTTGGCAAGAGTCTATACACACACATACTCTAATTCAAATACACAAACACACTTATACACACACACATTCTCCCGCTTTATAGAAAATGTAAATATCCCTTTACATCCATTTATTCTTTTAAACTGTGTTGAGTTTACACAGAAATATCATCTGTCTCACACATACAAGCATAAAGTGTGTTGACTTGCGGCGCACACATGCACTCCAGCAGTAGTGCTCCTAGTTGTCAACTGGCATTTATTTAAGATTGTTTGTGTTTGTGAGTTTGTGTGCTTTGATACAGAACTGGACCCCTATGATCTGTAGTGGCTCTGCAGCAGTACACACACACATGTTTGTATGGCCATTTTTTGAGGATATTTATTCACTAGACTAGTGATTCTCGGGCAGTGATGCATGTTTTTTCAGGAGCACTATTTAATCTAGTAATTAGGGAAAAAAATCTAATTAATTAAAGAATTTAGTTTACCTGTTGGTTATGAGAGGAAATATTGGTGTAGGGTTATGGGAGTCCCTCTGACAGGCCCGTGAGAACTTGTTGTCAGTTGATTTAAAATATGTAGGACATAAGTGAAACTCTAGTATGCTAGCTAGAATTCTACACAAAACACCTTTGAATATGATGAACTACAAAACAGCAGCCCTACCATCAGGGTTGATCCACTGGATCTCCTGTCCCGAGTCATGGGTAGCCCTAGATAATTGTTGTATTCAGTACAAACTGGACCGTAGCTTTGGGAAACAAAAGTTTTAGGATTGTTTAAACCATCACGCCTTGTTAAATAACAGTGTATAGATTTATGCAGAGCATAAATGCCAGATTACTAATACACTATAAGAGAGGCGTAGGACCTCACCTGGATATTTAATGCCAACGTGTAGTGCAGGTTAGTTGTAGCATGTGCACATGATTTATTGAAGACCAGACTGTGCGGTGATTATTATTTTTTTTAACTTTTATTGTTTTGCTTGGGTCCACACACAAGTAAGGCAAGAGGATATGTGCATGAAATGCAGAGTCGATTGACATGCAAACACATCTCTGAATGCATATAGACACAAACACACAAGTGACATCACCACTGCTGTAGTAAGAACCTGATACTGTACAGTGGTCTCCTTCTTAAATAAACTCTGTGGTCTCTCTCTCTCTCCTTTCCCCTTCCTTCTCCCCCCTCTGTCTCTGACATACTGTGCCGCAAAGATACATCTGTTGGAATCAGTCTTCTCATATTACAGTGCGATGGAAGTACACTTCCATTCAATTACAGTACATTGTGACTTTAAGTATTTAACATTTGATAATAGAAATGACTTTATGGCTTTATTTCCTCTATCTCACTTCCCAACCCCACCTGTTTTTGCTAGGAGCTATCAGAAAGGAAATTAAGGGGTTAGAGGTCACAATGTGTGATTTGTAGATTCAAATGCACCTACACTTTTTTTCAATTTATACATCCCCAAAACATCAACAGCTTACAGAAGACTCAGGAGAGGCAGTGGATGGATTAAAGAATCTGTAAGAAAAACAGGGAAACCTCAGTTTACTGTAGCTGAGAAATTGTGTTTAGCCACTTATTCTTTGGCTTTAGTCTTACTGCAGGCCTCAGTTCCAGTTTCTGAATTGAAGCATTTCCTCAAACAACAACAATTTGAACAATTTGCTGTTTTTCTTTCTTCTGACGTCCTTCTCAACATACAAACTGACTAAAACAGAGAAAAAAATAAACTACAATATTAAACATTTACTTTGCGTGTCTCAGAGTGCAACTTTAGCAGAGATATTCTCTATTTGAGTTATTTTAAAATAGTTATGATATGCATCTACAAAAACATGTATCATGTATGTTCAGAGCCTGCATTTAGAAAGCATTCATAGATGAACATTGTTGTGTGTCTGAGACCACACAACAATGCTTGCCTCTTGTAACTCTTTAACATCGGAGTTGTTATCATCTTATCAGGTCCTTCCTTTCTTTGCTTTTTCACTTTTTTAATCACTTTATGCAGTTTAACCTCATCTAAATAGTCTAAAATCTTGATTATGAAAAAGTATGTTTCATATTCCAAGTCATTTTTGAAATAAAACAGTCAAAATCACTGATCTCAATGTTAGTTAAAGGTCATGTATGCATTTCTTTGATAATTGTTTTTAGTCATCCCTGAGGTTATTGTAAAAAAACAAATACAATAAAATGAAAAAAATAAATAATATAAACAAATATAAATAATATGCAGTAAAAATAAATAATTAGGACTGTGTAGAACTCATGTATGTGAATATATTACTCCAAAGTGCACCAACATCACGTATAATGTTGAGAGGTCCAGGTCAGTGAGGTCTAGCAGCTACACCTTTCTACAGCTGCCTGTGGCAGAATCTACTTGGATGAGTTTAATACAATTGTTAAGAACTAAGAGAAACTGTTCATTTGTACCAGACTATAGACATGCCTTTTAATCCTGTTCATCTGGACACTTTACCTTGAGTCTATGGGGATTTATTTGTTTTTTGAGACAGCCTCAAGAGAAACAGGTTATGTATGGGGATTTTTTTTTTTTAAATACATTTTGGCCTTGTTCAATTGTAGTAATGAATACAGCAACACAGACACAAGCACAGACACACTAACTGTGTCTCCATGCATAAAACTCTGGACTGGAGGTGACCAGAAGTATTTTCCTCGTTTCTCGTTTGTTTGTTTTCCAGATTTTTTTTGTGATAATCAACCGAGTTTAAATTTTAGACAAAAATAACCTGGGCCACATGGTGCCTGTGTGGGAACTCCAGCATTTCTCCTACAGTCCAAAGACGTGCATTTAGTGGGGTTAGCTTGATTCATAATTTAAAATTGGCCATAGATGTCAGTGTGAATGGTGGTCTGGCGATCTCTCCAGGATGTACTCTGGTGGAGAATGAATAAATGAATTTATTTATTAAGGAGAGAAACCTTCCTGAGGTCTAAAGACATCTGTCTTTAGATTGTGGCATTATGTAGATAGATTGGCTTTGGGACTGCAATGAATCAGGGTCAGAGAAGTTGGAACAGTGGTGAACCTTCCCAGGAATGGCTGGCCGAAAAATTACAGTGCATTGACGTCTCATCCAGTAGATAACAAAAAACCCAGAATAAAATCTAAAGAACTGCAGGCCTCTCTTGGATCAGTTAAGGTCAGTCTTAATGACGCAACGATAAGAAAGGGACTGGGCAAAAATGGGAGTGCTCCAAGGCAAAAAAGACTGCTGACGAAAAAGAACACAAAGGCTTATCTTACAAAAATGATCTTGATGATCCCGAAGACTTTAGGGAAAAACTTCTGTGGAACATCATGCCAACATGATAATACTATGGTCTGGGGCTGCTTTGCTACTTTAGGACCTGGACGACTTGTTGTAATTGATGGTGCCAGGACTTCTCCTCTCTACTAGAAGGAGAATGTGCAGCCATCAGTTCATACCCTGAAGCTTAAGAGCACTTGGGACATGCACCAAGACAATAATCCCACATACACCAGCAATTCTACCTCTGAATGATTCAAAAATACAAAACAAAGATTTTGGAGTGGCCTAGTCAAAGTCCAGACTTAAATTCAATTGAGATGGTTTGGCATGACCTTAAACAGACCATTCATGCTCAGAAACTCTCCAGTGTGGCTAAGTTAAAACAATTCTGCAAAGAAGAGTGGGCCAAAATTCCTCTCTAGCGCTGCGAAAGACTTATTGCCAGTTATCACAAATGCTTGATTGCAGTCTTTGTTGCCAATTGCAGTTCTTGCTGCCAAGGTTGGCACAACCAGTTATTAAGTTTAGGGGGCAATCACTTTTTCTCACAGGGTGACGTATGTTTGGGTAGCTTGTTTCTTTTAATAAATAAAATCATAATTTAAAAAAACTCACTTTGTTTTTAGTCAACGTATCTTTGTCTAGTATTTAAATTTTTTGATTAAAACATGTAAGTGTGACAAATATGCAAAAAGGATTCAAGAAGGGGGCAAACACAGCTTCATAACACTGTATGAAGTTGGCGATAAGTGTGCACACACCTATGCCACCTCCTATTAGTCCAATTCATTCTTCCCTGCCTGTCTCACCGTCCTTTCTCTTTTTTTCTCTTTGTTACTTTGTCAGCATTATTTTCCTCTAATTTGTTTCCATCTCTTTGTCCTTTCTTTGTCATTTTTCCCTACTTGTAACTTTTATTATGTGTTTATATTTCCTCCTCTTGCTTTCCAATTCCATCTTAGCATTTCTTTAGAGTTTCTTGTTTAAATGGTAAGATCAACAAAACCAGCCTGACTAAGCAAACAGTGTTTGAATTGTGTTTTAAACATAAAACATCCCTTATTATTACCTTAGTAGGGAAGGACCATGAGGGTAAAAAAAATACCATCAGAACACATAATAAAAGGATTTAAGTGGCTGCATTCACCATTCACTATATATCCTATAAACTTTACCTTAGTAGGGATCATTTTCCAAAGCTATAACGACCTTTACTTGATACCTTGGTGTTTTTGATTTTTTAATGTTTTTCCTTCCTTCCTTTCGGGCAGCCAGTGCTTTCATTCATTTCAGTATGTTGTGAAATTCAACTTGGAAACACTTGAAACTTGCCTGAGTCAGCCAATCCATCACAGCGCACATCATGTCTGCCCTGATTATCATCAATGTTACTTTAAAACACATTGGTCATCTGTTATATATTTAAAAAATTTGTGATGTTTATTAAATGAGCTTGAATGCAAAAGCACATAAAAAAAGATCAAATTGTTTTTTTTATAGAGTCAAAACGTGAAATTGTATTTTCTTGGAGATCCGAATTGGATATTTTCTGTGTTAAGGCGATCATGTTCAAAGGCAGGAACTGAACAGTCAGCTGGATGATAAAAAAAGTGAAAAATGGATCGGCGTATCATGACCGGTAACATTACTTAACAGCGCTGAGAATAGTTTGCGTTTAGATTGATTTTTATATTTAGTAAATCTGCAGCATATTCACTTTGACAACATGTATATCTAACCCTCTTTGTTGTGTTTGTTGGAAGTGATGTGTTGTTTAACTATCCAGCCATCCAGAACGAAGGGTCATTGAGAATTTAGCTGAGTGAGGAAAGAAGAAAGCAGGCCTCAGTCCGTCTTGCTCTTTAAAACTTTGAACTTTTTCTCTCTCTCTCCATCTTCCTTTTCCCCTGTTTTCTACTGTTTTCCTTGGCTTTGCCTCTTCGCTTTTTCTCTCTAGGCCTCAGTGCATACATTCAAACCAAATTGAATTATTCACATAATCACATAATAATTGCTTGTCTGGGAGGAAAAGGTGCACAGTAGTTGTGGGTAATTATTACTATCTGTAATAACCTGGAACTTTCCCTAATTAAACCGTCCCTTCTCATATTATTTTCCTTTCAGTCCCTCTCTCTCTCACATGTTGGTTTATTTCCACTTGTTTTTCTGCTCAACTCTCCTGTCATTAGCTCACCTCCTCTCCTCTGGTTACTTCGCTCCATCTCTTCCTAACAACTGTTTTCCTCCATCGCTCCTTTCCCTCGCACTGTTATTCTAGCTAAGTGTACATTTCTGCCAAGCTCAGCACTCCATACACTCTGAACATAGTTGTAGTTGGCCTTAACTCGCCTCCTCACTTCCTTTTTCTTTTTTCTTGTCAGTCAGTCCCCACCATCTTTTTCAAAACTTCCCTTTCTGATCTTTGACAAACTCACCTCCACACTTGGCGTTGATGTCGAGTCTCTCGTTCTCCTAGCTCTCAGATGCTCATGCAATAGGAATACCTGAACTGTTGACTGTGTGAACAAATGTTGACTGTGTGAACAAATGTTAACTGCGATATCGAGGCCTCGTTTGAGTCACTGCGGTGTGTGTGTGTGTGTGTGTGGGGGGGGGTATAAATTGAAGGACTAGTCTCTAACGTTAAGGTTTTATTTCTGGAAAGGAGCAACAGGAGGAGGGAAACTCGATTTAAGATTTTAAGATGAGCAATGCAGAATTACTTTATTAATAATAATAATAGTAATAAATACTCTACCTTTTTAAGAATCTTTTCTGACTATAGTGATGGTTCTTATTTGCAGGAGTTCCCAAGGTCCTCCAGTCCAGGTTCAATCTTCCTCCATCATTGGTGTGTGTCGCTTGTCCTCCACCCAAAGCCACCAAGTTTAAGATAACTGTGGACACCAACCAGCCACCAGTTGACCTCAGCTCCATCTTCCGAGGTAATAGCACACTCACTCTGTATGAAAACACTTGACAATGATGTGCTGGTGGCGCTCTGTTTCCCAAACAATTAAGGTTCTGTTCTTTGAATCACAGATTTCCAGAAACCAAAGTGCACTGTTCTGTTTAAGTCATTGTCTGTGGAGATCGGTATGCAGTATTAATGTGCATTTGTTTAAAGTGGGTTGTCCACTTATTGCAACTGGTTGGCTTGTGCACACGTTAAAACGTAAACCCACACCAAAAGCTTAGCTCTAGGTATAACTTATAAATAGGGAACGAATACTATATAAAGCACAAATCAGTAAAATGTCAGTGATTAAACAATTTTTTTCATGCACACTTTACCGTGTGTGTGTCTGTTTAGTTCTTCTGAATTGACTACATCTTACAGTTAATGATTCGTAATAGCCAATAATCAATGACGTGGCTACCTAAGTGTTTTACACAAAACCAGATGATTTAAGCATGAATGGAAAGCTAGTGAAGGCAATGAGAGATGTGTAGCTGTGCGAATGTGTATACATTTATATGAATAATCAACGGTTATGTATCGGTGTGTGGTTGTGTATTTATACGAGTCTGTTTATGCGTGTTTATTTGTGATTCCGTGTGTGTGTAGGTCTGAGCTCTGGGAACGTCTGTTCTGCTTCCCAGTTATCTAACAATCGGCCACAGTCAGCAGCTCTGACGTCTAAACACACACACATAGTGTTCATACTGAGTGTGTGCTTTTTGTGTGAATAGAGATTTGTGTAAGCTTATTTTGTGTTTGCACATGCGACTGTATCTCGTTCTCCTTTGTTGGCGTCCTATATCACGATAGTCTGTCCTATCTGTCTCATCTCATAGTTTTTTGTCTTTCTGTCTCTCTGCAGAGTTTTCAGCAAAATCAGAAGATAAGGATGGGAATAGTTTGGCTTTCCAGCTTCTGTCAGGAGCCAAGGTTACTGTGCTAGCCTCCAAGACCTCCCGTAAGTCTAACAGCACTGGATAATGAACGGGATTTTAATAAGATTCATCTTTTGGCTCCATTAAAGCTGTTTAATTGTGGGACTAAAACAAGTCTTGCGAATTATCTGTTTCTAATACAGTCCTGTTCCAGGTGTCTATTTTTTTTTTACCAGATGTCTTTCTCATAGCCTGTCTTCACCTGCTAATTTCTTTTGATAGCTTTCAATTACTTATGATAGAAAATCCTGCCCTTTTGTATTTCTTGGAGTCTTTGAGGACCTTTCGTTGATACCTGTTGGATTAAAAGAGAATAGGTAGTTTGGTAAGTACAGTGGTCCCTCGCTATAATGCGGTTCACCTTTCGTGGGTTCGCAGTTTTGCGGATTTTTTTGTGCATGCTTTTTTTTTCTTCTTCTTCTTCTTTTTTTTTACAGCGCATTGTGTTCTGCATCCTGATTGGCTGTAGATCATTGTCAGTCAGTCTCGTGCCTTTCTCATGTACAGTACAGAATGCATTCAGCTTGTCGAATTTACATAAATCTTCGATCACTAGCAGTGTGACTCTGAAGTGCTGTACTGTATGTTTGTAAGTTTTCTCCCCAACAAACACAACAATGTCGATGAAACGTTTTGCACCGCCAAAGGCACCTGCGGTAGCACCCAAAAGGCAGAGGACGATGCTAACCATCGCACAAAAGGTTGAACTTCTGGACAGGCTAAAGGAAGGTAGAAGTTACCGTATTTTTCAGACCATAAGGCGCACGGGATTAAGGGAAACAAAACAGTCAGATAAGTCAAACTTTACTCAACTCAAACTTTACTCAACTCATTCTTCTTGCTTCCTCTATTGATTCATTAATGTTAAATTCTCTCGCAGCTGCTCTATTCCCATGTTCTGGACCTGAAAACAGGGTTTGATCTTTGGTGTCATTCTATAACACTGGACTTATTTTTTGGCCGAAGGTTTTCAACTTTGGTAGTTTTTAAACATGAGAGAAATTTTCATGCCTGTCTGAGAAAAGTGTATAAAGTGTGTAGTGAGGGGGTTTTACAGCTGTAAGACAGCTATAATAATTGTACAAATTAAAGCTGGCTACTTCAGAGATTTCACCTATCGCGGGTTATTTTTAGAACGTAACTCCCGCGATAAATGAGGGACCACTGTATTATAATCTTACGGCAAGAATGTTGTAGGTAACCTGCCCAAGGTGTACCCCGCCTCTAGCTGAGTGTCAGCTGAGATAGGCTCTATATACCTGATACTGAGCTTTTAATTTTTACATACACCACTTTAAGTCTGACTTCTTGCATCACTTCTATGGACTTTTACAAACCTCTTTGGTCTGTGTACTAATAAGTTGTAAGATCTGAATTGTATTCACTGACAGCTTTCAGGAGTTAATATGAGACATTCATATTAAGATAATTCAAAAACTTTTTTATTGTTATTTTCAGGTTTTTTGTTTGTTTGTTTTTTCCTCTTTTGGATAGTGAAGCAGTGAAGATAGACACAGAGGAAAGTAGGGTGAGAAAGATAAAGAAGATATGCAGCAAAGGGCCGGGATAGGATTCGAACCCAGACCGCCACTCTTTGGCCGTGCAACATGTGGTTTTCTGCTCATCCACTGAGCTAAAGTAGCACCTGTGATTCTAAAACTGTATATCCCCTTAATCCATTTCTGGTTCTTAGAGATCTTTTTATAAGTATCACTTGTCACTGTGTCACTACTTATATTCGTTTGGTGTTTCATTCTTAACAAACTTTAGTACCAGGTGTTTAAATATATGTTCTTAGTTGCATACACATTTACACATTACACAAGGCTCAGTGGTTTAGATAGTTTTAACTATTTAAGATCTCTAACCATCTTTCGTTAGCATGTATCATCAATTATATTTTCCATATATGCATAAATATTTGATATATTTTATGTGTGTGTTTGTCAGAACGTTACCGTATTCAGAGCGACAGTTTTGAAGACATGTGGTTGGTTGTGAAGGAGCTGGTCCACAGGTTTGACCAGCATTTCTCCAAATTGGGAATCAAGGATTTCAAGAAAAGTTTCAGTGGACCTCTCCCACTGGAGGAGTACTTCCTGTCTGTAGACAAGCACTTCCAGGTACTAACACACACCGAAGCCAACCATAGGTGTAAATCCTTCATTGTCAAGGTTCAGGGATTAAAAAAGAAATGACTTAAATAGCAGTCAATTTAGTTATTATCAGTTCTGTCATCTGTCACCTTTATTTAATTTTATTAAGTTAAACCACAATTTGTCTGTTAAATATTTGTCACTTTGTCTCTTAGCTGCGTGTCAGTGCTCAGAAATATCAGGACCTGCTGTCGGAGCGAGCAGTCCAGTTCCGAGCCATCCAGCGCCGCCTGCTGACTCGGTTCAAGGACAAAACCCCAGCACCCCTGCAGAACCTTGACACGCTAATGGATGCCACTTACAGCCAGGTCAGACACATGCATTGAGGTTTGCTTTTTTGCTTGGAGTCTTAGATACCCGCACTGTCTGATGTAACTCCATACGCCAATATTAAAGAGGGAGAAGCTATTATTCAAAGAAGCCATCTGACGTAGTTCAGCATCTGTTTGGGACAACTCTGAGAAGAGACCCTCAGGCATGTGGAACAAGCACAAAGCAAGACATCTTATATGACCTCATGGTACCTTAGAAACTTCCAGGAGGGGTGGGTACAAGAAACTTTAGGGCTGGGTACTTACTGAGATTTCAGTACGGTTTAGCATGTGTTTCCCTATGTTTTTATGCTGTTTTGTGTCATCTTGAAAGCACACTCACACAAGAACGAAAGGGAGCATATGTACTTGGGAACAAAAGTATCAGCCCAGTGCCCTGTCTAAAGTGTGTGTGTGTGTGTGTCCAACTGGGTGTGAGCACACAGCTAATCACCTAAACAGAGGAAGTCTATAAATCTCCAAAATGTAGCCCTCACACTATAAATCTACACTAACACATCATCACAGTGTGTCTCTGTGTGTGCTGTGTGTATATTTGTGAGGACCAGTTGGACTATTAGCTCTCATGAGGATACTTGTGGAAGGTGAGAACATTTTGGCCAGTGCTCACATTTTGGCACCTTTAAAGGGTGTCTGGGGGTTCAGATTGGTTTCAGGGGTAGAGTTAGTATTAGATATGAGTAAGATTATATGATACTTAAGTTTTATCAAAGATGGTTACGTTGGTCAGGTATGCGAAAGGTGTCTTTTTGCTTTATTTTCTAATAGACCAGGCCTGGGCGATGTAGGGTACATGGATTTCTCAACAGGTGATTTCTTTGCAGTGGTTGAGTGTTATTTTTCAACATGTTGGCTTAGTGTTAAGATCTAATCAGGAAATGAAAGACTCTTATATTTATAGATATATAGATATTTGTGTCAATGTGACACCAGCGGCTGACAGAACTGAAGTATTTGTCACCCTGAAATGAGAACGTGTTGGCCATTCAGTTGAGATTATTCATTTTTGGGCAGGAGAAGGCTCAGTGTAAGTGAATGTCGTTTAAACTGTAGAGACACACTGGCATGTGCAGCTGAGGTCCGTATAAAGTCGATTTTAAAACAAAGCAGCTGTTCAGCTTTTGTCTCTCTCTTTGTTTAACTGTGAGGTATTGGAGGGTGGAGCAGTACTAGTGTCACCGTGATATTGCACGTATGTGTTTGTTAGACAAAGTGATGGTTGCTTGCCCCTATTGTTTATTCTAATTCTTGACTTGGCGGTCATTACTTCCACCTTCCATTAGCCTCTCGTTAACATAGCAGGGCTAGGTGACATCATCTCTTCATTAGCTGTTAAAGCTTTCAGTACATTACTGTTTGGCTTTGTGTGATCAGAGCCGCTTTCTCTGTCCAACAGCGTGCACTAACAATACCTTAATTTAATGCAAATTAACTTCCAGAGCTCTGAGAGTTTGTTGGAGCTTAATGAGCGGAAATTAATGAGCTTGTTGAAGTTCTAATTGCCATTTTAACCCAAATAAATAGTGTTCACCTTGGGTTGTCTTGACTCTTGCCAGGATAAGCAATCAGAGAGCCTGATCTAAACATGTCTGCCTTAAATGTTAATGTGTGGGTCTGCTGAATGTCTACCACCTTAACCATTTATTCAGCAGTACTTATTGTGCTCATACATCAACAGCAGCGTTTTTAGACATGCTGAAAGAGATTTTTTTAAAATCATCAGCGGGTAATTTCAGAACATTTATCTAATTTTTTTTATAACATTAAAAAATCTGGGCTATTGAAAGGGTAGGTTACTGAAATGGCATGCATGTCATGAACCCCACACTGCTCTTCACATGCTTTAAAATACCATTCATGGCACCCCTCAGCTGGATAAGTGATTTGGGGAGTAGTGTCTGATCATTTTAAGGTAATCAAAATAAATAATAATCATAAATAAATATACTGCTGCATGTGTTCACATACCTTTCTGTACTGATATGACTTCATGCTCATTCCACATGCTCAGAGCGGTTTTGTAGTAAATTTGGCTAATTAGCACATGCCTATACTGCAGTATTGTTTGGGCTCTCTGTGCTGTTGGTTGTGAAATTAAAATGATTTGATGCTTTAATAAAATGTTGTAGTTGCATAAATGCAAAAAGTGAGCCACATTAGCCCGTTTCTAGCTCGTTACTGGGCAACATGAAGACATTATAATGTGTCCTATATAATTCATTTTTGTGGATGTATATTGAATATTATTGTCATGACATTATAATCATAAAATTGATTTCATAAACTGTCATAGCTGCATAAAGCGAAAAGCAGGTCATTTTAGTGGTTGCCAGGCAGCCTGATAACATCATGACATATCACGCAGAACTAAACATTTTTTAATTTAAATTTCAAATAACTGTTGTGAAATTGTGGTTAATCGCTGTCCTTTTCTGAGCCTGGTTCTGCCAGAGGTTACTTCCTGTTAAAACAGAGTTTTTCCTTCCCACTTTTGCCAAGTGCTTGTTCAAAGGGGCTCATCTGATTGTTGGGGTTTTCTTTGTATTATTATTTGTCTTTACCTTAAAATATAAAGTGTCTTGAGGCGATTACAGCTGTGGTTTTAACATGTATATCCATGTTAAAACCACAGCTGGTGAGTAAAACTTTAGAGAGGACCTTTGATTAATTAATTGGTAATCATTAATCTGCAGGGGTTTTTTCTTTCTGTTTTTTTTTAATACGGTGAGCTCATGTAAAATTAAATAACTCTGTGTACACAGATACTTCGTTTTTAGTCACTAATTTACTCATTTTGAAAATCCGTGACAATAACAGCAACTTGACTTAAATGATCACTGTAATCAATGGTTTGTCGTGCATTGACTTGTTGCCATGCTGGAGCCGTACTTTTACTTTCACCAAGGCTTTGATAGAAAAGTATTGGTGTAACTCAAAATAACTTGTCACTTATCAAATTTAGTGAATTAATGTAATTTAAATTCATCATTTCTTTCAATTTACAGTAATGTGATGATATCACATTGTATTACTGGACATTGTTGTTTTTTGACTTTGACATGTAACCTTATAACTCTTAAGACTTCCAGGCGTTTAAATCTCCTCTCAAAAAGCCATTGGCTCACACTTTCTTTCTCTTTTTAGCTGTTTATACCGCTGAAATTTTGACTCTGCCTCCTCAAGCTAATGCGTTCTGGTGTCAATCCTGTCCATCACACTTTTTCCCTTCTCTCTCTCTCTCTCTCTCTCTCTCTCTCTCTCTCTCTCCCTTTCTGTGTCTTCCTCTCTTCCCGCCATCCAGCGGCCTGTATGCGGGAAGTTTCTGACACACTATACACTCTGTAATGTATACACACCCGCCATAATGGAGGCTATCGACGGGCTGGTCGGAAGAGTGATGAATGCATCAAATTAATAATTCATGTCAGTATTAAGAGTCATGCTGCTGATGCCAGGGCCAACTCAGCAGTTTGAATTCTGTAACTGGATGAATTTTGTGAGGATACATCATATCTTCATTTTTATTAGAAGGCTTGACAAGGACATTAGATAAGCCTTAATTTTGCTATTAATTTGGTGTTTTTATCTGTTCTTTTATTTATTTGTTTTATTTCTTTTATTCGATTTTGAATCATAGTTTCTGTTTATAGATTTAAGGGTTATGAATTCTTTTTCATTTTCTTGTCATTTCTAATCAACCAGCGTTATCTGCATGTATCCTTGTTTCTATTTTTAATTTGTCTAAAATGTATTTTTAAAGTTCTTACAGTTCAAACTTTTCTGCAACAAATAGTATTTAACAGTCATTTGGTTAAATGTAGAGTCACCTTTTGGGTTTCCATTTCAATAGTTGCAACAGTTTGCTCAGAGGCATTTCAGTGTTCTTGATGTAGGAAGGTAATATATTGTTCATGATTTTTACCAGGTCATTTAACCAGGTCAAAAGCCTACCAGGTAAAACCTTGTTGGAGTAAGAACATAAGATGTTTTGTGGAGGTTTATCCCATGAAGCTGCGGCTCCATGGGTGCATTCACACTGTTGTTAGGATGGCAAAGGAATGTGCGGCTAAACAGGAATGCTGGTGAACTAGGCACCTCTTTCATTTTGGCTCAGAGGAATGTCTGCTGGGTAAATTTTCTGCATCAATCTTGGGCAAACGAGGGGGGATTTCCCCCTCGTTAGCGGTGTGTGTCTCCACATGCAGTGGCCGGCAATCGCCGACGCGCCGTCAGAGATAAGAGGAATGAGCTCCCTGTGAGAATACTCTGTGGTCGGCTGTGCATTTATGCAGCCGAGGATAATATTTCCATTGTTCATGCTGCCTTTATGGGCCTATATTTTATTCATGAATTCCTAAGAGCTAGCAAGCCACGTCTTACTTTATGTGTGTTCGTGTAAACTTTTTCATGTGCCGAATACAGTGGCTTGATTCCAAAATACACCAAGTGCTTGAACTAGCCGAATATGATTGATGAGTTTCAGAATAGAGTAAGACCCATGAATGATTATTTTTGTGTCAGAGTGGCTCGTATAGAAGAGAAACCAGCTATGGACAAAATCCACCAGTTTGTTTGGTGGCTCCAGGAAATTTCCAGCTCTGCCCTGTGAGCGCTTCTGTCTTCTGTCCTGGTTGGAGGTGTGTTTCTCTTCCACCTCCCTCCCTGGTCCCTCCTTAAAAAGTCATCAGTCATCACATCCCCTGTATTTTACACGCTCCCCCTCTAACTGGTGTTTGATTAATTTATGGCTACTAGAGGTTTGACTGGCATCAGTGCTCCTCCTTGTAGCTACCTCATCTGCCTCTCAAATTCAAGGGAGAACTCAGGACTGTCATTCATAGAAATAAAAACTAAATCCCCTAAAACAATTTGTGGAATTGAAAGAAGAAAAAAGCCAAAGGGGACTTTTCTGTTTCCATAAATATTTTCTTCTATTTCCTCTGGAGGTGAAATTCCGCCGTTTGTTAGTATTAGTA